AGGGGAAAAAAGCAGGGAAAAAAACAAGAGAGTCCCGTCCCCGTTCGAACATGGACCGCGGGGATACATACATCCCTACGGACGAATAAATGTTATCCGATATCCCGCGCGTACCGCCGCCGACAGATTTTCATTTAGCGATCGCGGGCCGCCGCGCACCACACGGGGATTTAAAACTGACGCTGCGCTGGCCGGGCTGCTAGGTATCGCTGTATCAGCGTCGGCGGCGGGGGCTCGAACCCCGTGTTGTACCGCGGTGTTCATTTCAATTCGCCTCTAATTGAACGTTGTTCAATATTGACGAGTTAAATAATTGTCTTTGGAAAACTGAGTCCGCGTAACCGTTAATCATCCCTCTCGCGTTGGACCATCGCGTTCCGCGCGCACGCGATCCCATAATAACTCGCGTCCCGCCGCCGCAGAGTGACCGTTGGAGCGGGCGCGTAGCGGGAAGGATTAGGGAGAAGGAGGAGAAAAAAATACGCGCGGTGTATATTTGTCGGTGAACTTAGGCGACGGTGAGGCGCAATTCGTGGAAATTAAACGTTGCTCGTCAATCGCTGCAGTTGGCACGTATATTTGGACACTGTTAAAGTAAATGTTAGAATTTGAAATTCAGTTTTCAGGTTAGATTTAGTTTTTCATTTCAACGGGAGTTTGAGATTGTTTTATTTTCATTGTCGATGAGCATGCAGCATCTCGATATCTACATATAATACATACATACTGATTCCAACATTAATATCGCTAGTTTTCCAATATTTTTGAACATTCTCAACATTATTACTATTATTAGCATATAAATTGTTCTAAAACAACGTCAATTCTAACCTAACCTCTCTAAGCATTATCATATACGATTATGCAGGGCGTTTCATTTGTAATAAACGTCTAAATTATTTACGCTGCTGCACACCCTGTGTATTCGATATTGAAAAGAATCTAAATTCACATTTTAAACTTGATCGTTTTTATTGGTCAATTCCATGATCCTAAATCTAAAATCATTTTCAAAACCATGCCTGTCGTGGTCGTTTAATTCAACGATAATTTTAAACAGAGTAGAGTCGTGATCCCATTGGTAGATGCATTAAAATCCAATATGGCGGAATCACACTCTACGTATTAGGTCATCCCGAGGTTAATGAAAATCCAAGGAAATCATCCTATAGCAATGATAAAAAAAAAAAAAAAATTGGAAAAAGTTGTGAAAAAATTTAATTCAAATTTAAAGGTTTGTTGTAAATATCGATCTAAATTGTAAAATCTGACATGAACTTATGAAATGACCTAATACACCATAGTACTGTTCAAATGTATAAAAAGTTGTACCAGCTTTCTCCATCGTCAGCTCTCAGAAGCTCCACGTGGTGGTCACCCTAACCTCATTCAAAGGTTAAATCCATCTCGTGGGATCTGCACGGGCAACTTTCGCACAGTCGCGCGTTTCCTCTGTCTCCCCCCCCCCCCCCCC